GTGGGACGTATATAGGCTGTAACTTTAACTTAACTTAAATCTATGTTGAATACAAAATGATTGATCAAATATTTAACACATTTATGGTAAATCGCACTACCTTTGCATAGCTAAAGCCTATTCATTGCTCGCTTTAACTGAAAATAAACACGTGTTTTTTTTTAAATTTTGTACCAAACAATATACTTACTACGTTTTTTTTCACATTCCTACATTGTCTTCTGAGCTATTGTCAAATTTTTAACGCTCATCAGGAAGTGCTCGGATTTTTTTCGGATTTCAGTTGCGAGATACCACCCCGAACGATAGACAAGGTACAAATAAAGGAGCATTATTTTACAAAACAGATATGGATGTCGTTCGCTCGTTTGTGTAATTAGTTATCTTAAGTAGAAAATAATTAGGACGTTATGTCATAATGATAACAATATAGACTCGTAGCACTGTGTATCGGCTATTTCGAGTAGCATTTAGTAAGCTATCAGCGAGTATATTACTATTAAACGTTTTGTAGTTTTATTATACAAAAAAAATTGCAATTCAAAAAAAATCTACTTTGAAAAATACAAAAATATAGAATAGTTTCGACACATTAGCTTTTAAAGTAGGCGCTAAGACAGTGTGTCCAAGTATAATGTGTTAAATATTCGATCAATCATTTTGTATTCAATATAGATGTTTTTTTATAGGATAGGGTGACAAACGAGCACACAGTCCACCTGATGGTAAGTGGTTGCTGTGGCCCATAGACATCTACATCTATCCTCGATTACGAATCAAAATGCAGATGCGTTGTCACCCATGAGGACTAAGATGGAATGCCTCGTTTCCAGTAAAAAGGGTATCCGGTTCTCTACACTCACCATACGAAACACAGCGGCATTAAGCTACTATTTGACGCCGGTATTCTGTGAGAGCGTGGTCCCTCCCCGGTCGAGTCGACCCATTCGTGCTACATATAACTGCAACATGGCTCTACCGCGTATGAAATTTTAGATTAAAGTTAAGTTAAAGTTACAACCTATATACTCTCCACTGCTGGGCACAGAACTCTCCACATTTATGAAAGGGTTTTAGGGTAAGGAAGTGTCCACCGCGCTGCCCCAATGCGTGTTGGTGAACTTCACATGTCTTCGAAATATATTCTTTTCTTATTTTTCAGACTTGCAGGTTTCATCACGATGTTTTCCTTTACCGCCGCACACGTGGTAAATCAGCACTTAAAATTGCAATTAACAATTTCATTGGTGCCGGCGGGGATCAAACCCGGTTTTCTCGCGTATTGTGAAGTTTACAGCGAGCGCTAACCATCCGAGCTACATACCACCGCTACTTTCTTTCACTTTTCAATTTAATTGAAAGTTTATTTTTTACCTTTTTGAGATGTCTGAGGAATGTCACTAGATCAAGATAAAAACCAGAAAGTTGTCTAAATATTTACATTAAAATTTTCATCCCCAACTTTTCAACCTTAGGGATCAAATTAAATAGAACCACCACCTAAAGTATATCCCATTTATATAGGATAGGATGACAAACGAGCACACAGTTCACCTGATGGTAAGTGGTTGCTGTGACCCATAGACATCTACATCTTAATCGATTAAGAATCAAAATGCAAATGCGTTGTCATCACCTCTGAGGACCAAGACGGAATGCCTCAATTCCAGTAAAAAAGGTCTCCGGTTCTCTACACTCACCAAACGAAAGAAGGCAGCATATTTTACGCTGGTATTCTGTGAGAGCGTGGACCTGCCCTGTCGAGCCGACCCATTCGTGCTACAACTATACTACTAATTATATAACTGCAGCATGGCTCTACCACAATAAAAATGTATTAAAATATAATTAAATTTGGTTCATAAACAACGTAATTATAAGTGAATTTACAACAGGTAGGTAACAAATACCCTGTGGTTCCCGTAAAAGGCGTTATCAGAAACAAAGAAACTTATAGAGATAAATTTACTTCAGAAAACTCGGTCATACATAAAAGTTAAATTAAAATAAATTTTTATTTGTAGATAATTGTAGATTGTGAAGATTCGTGGTAGCTCAGATGGTTAGCGCTCACTTTATATTTCACAATACCCGAGCAATCCGGGTTCGATTCCCAAAAAACCAAAAAATTTGCAATAAAAATTGCTTTGGTGCCGGCGGACCAAAGCAATTTTTATTGCAAATTTTTTGGTTTATTGGGATTTATAATTTTTTAGTTTATTAATTGGGATTTTGGTCCCCCGTGTGGTTTGGATCAAAATCTGACAGAAACATGACTGTGAAGCAATTCCGAAATGTAAATAAGTTTACAATTCAATTTACGATACTAATACAATTTTAAGTGCTGATTTGCCACGTGCTCGGCTGTGAAGGAAAACATCGTGAGCACGTACTTTTGAGAAATAAGAAAAAAAATTTCAATGACATGTGATGTTCGCCAACACGCATTAGGGCAGCCCTTAAAGGTAAAAACCCTTTCAGAAATGGGAGGAAGCCTGTGCCCAGCAGTGGGACGTATATAGGCTGTAACTTTAACTTTTAAACTTTTTTGTATTTGGTTTCATTATCTCTAACTGACACGAGCATCATCAGTAAAGCAGGGTCTTTGCTAATACTGTTATTCTCCGGCTAAAGCAGAGTTGTTACATGTTGTATAATATATATACGTCACAGCCAACCTAGCTTAATTAGCCGTTCAATCAACAGCTTCGCCACTTCACTAAATAACGTCGTTCAACTAGCGGCCTGAATGATATTTTGCCATATTATCAAACAGCTAGGTAAATGAATTGGATGACGTTTCATTACTGAATAAACGAAAATTGCACATCGTAATTTTTAATTTCTTCAGTTATACCAAAAAATATAATGCTTGTTTGCTTTATACAGAATTTAGGAATGGAACGAGATATATTCGCCAAACGATGAATAAATATGATGTGTAATTAGGGAAATCTGGAGAGATGTCACTTCAGTCATTTGATCTTCATTCATCACATGAATACTATTTTTTTATTATTCAATATTAATCAAAATAGGCCATTTTCATACAGGTTTGATATGTCTAGCCTGTTTATTTCAATTTAGTTCCACCTAGCGCGGAAACTCTCTAAACTGTCGATATGGCGTAGACGAACAACAAATTCGATGGTGTTTTCCAAAATTAAAAAAAAAGTATAAGCTGTCGCAGCCAGCTAGCTTAATTAGCCGTTCAATTAGCAGCTTAGCCTTTTTATATTTAACTAGGGGCCCGAATGATATTCAACCGCTGCGTCTAATACAACATTGCAAAATCTTGTAATATCAGCGACAGTAGGCTAGGGTGCGGCTGCCGCGTATATTTATATAATATAGCGCATATTGCATAATTAGGCATGAAATGTTGTATTAGACGCATTATGTAGAATATCACGAAGCCGCTAGTTGAACAGCACTGTTTTACTGTGTACCATGGGCTAAGCATTAGCCAAACACGCTACGGCTAATAATATCATTTAGGTAACCGGTTGAACCGCGCTGTTAAGTTAAAAGACTAGGCTGTTAACTGAAAGGCTGATTAAGCTAGTTGGCTTCGACATATACACACAGACTAGTTGAGAACCTCCTCTTCCTTCTTCTTTTAAGGCGGATACATTGCAAATTTTACGCCATATGCAATTTTTTATCGTAGATATATAAGAAAAGTACATGTCATTTTTGTTGCAATCAATTTAATTCATCATATAATCTGTATTAGTGTATTTAATCTGTATTTTGATATTCATACCGTTACCATAACGACCTGTCAAGTACTATTGCGCGCCATAGTTGATGCCTGGTACATGACGGGTTATTATTAGCGCCATCTAAGATCAAGTAGCAGAACTAGGAGAGATTTCTAGGAAATTCCTTGCTAGATCTTTCGACATTCTACTCGAACATTCTATGTAAATATTTTCAGTAGAAAAGGAACTTTTATATAAGGCCAGCATGAGACGTGACCGAGTGTGTATTGAATTGGCGATACAAGTGAAGAATTTGAAGCGAAATAAAGTGAACTAAAGTGTTAAGTGTGTTTAATTATTAGTGTGTTTTAAGTTTATTAGGTGTTCGTTAATTAAAGTGTCAATTTTGGTAATTCAATCGGCAGTTATTTACTGTCACGAACCCTAAGCTCATAACAGTACATTGCTGTACATAGGGTTCCCCCATAGATCGCCTCACAGGGGGGATATTTGTCATATGTAGTTGCCAAGCTTGGCAGTTGGGTTGCCAACCGCAGTTTTTATTTTTAGTAGTTATTGGGAAGACGCTGCACAGCTTCTGATTTTTTTGTTATTGCCGCCTCTCACTCACGGGACGATAAGGGGTAGTGCATATTCTTGCTTACACTGCTAATACACGGTGAACACGGTTGATGTTATGTTAATGAAAGTCAACTATATATGGAGCCACGCTGCAGCTATATTAGGGTTGTAGCACGAATGAGTCGGCTCGTCCGGGGAAGGATCACGATCTCACAGAGCACCAGCGTAAAATAGCAGCTCAATGCCGCTGTGTTTCGTATGGTGACTGTAGAGAACTGGAGACCCGTTTTACAGGAAACGAGGCATTCCATCTTAGTCCTCTGGGGTGGCAACACATCTGCATTTTGATTCCTAATCAAGGATAAATGTAGGTGTATATGGGCCACACAATCCATTTAACATCAGGTGGACTGTGTGCTCCTTTGTCACCCTTGCTTATTCTATATATAAAAAAACTGCGTTCACTGTGTAGTCGAGCTTTTAATAATAAAAATTTTTCATTTTGGCCTTGAAAAAGGCGGGATGCGCGATTTGAAAAAGGATTTTTAATTCTGTTCTGGTTTACCATTCGCGCTGACTAGGTTTTCTTCATGTAGATTACATTGTCCACTTAATCTCAACGGATAGAAGAACATCCATTTTGTAAGGCACATACTACTTTTCACCTTTCTTTTATTTGAAAAAATAGTATAAAAGTATATAATATTAACTTACCTCAAACAAAGCAATCTTCTCCGATACTGAACTCTTCCTCGGTAGTTCTGTTTCACTAATAATAATCTGTCTTTTTCCATGTTCTATTCTCTCTATTGATTTTATTCTCTTGATCATTTCATGGACTTTCCCTTTGATTACATTTCCCAAATCAAGTTCTGCGACTGACGTAGTTCTTTTTATGTCACCTTCTTCTCTTCTAATAAATTCCTCCTTTTTGTGCTCCATTTTATTTATTTCTTTTATTTTCTGTGTAATCACTTCATTATATTGCTGTGCTGCTATTTTGTTCTCTGATTGATCTTTATTTACAGAGCTAAGATCTACACCGGCATCAAAACTTATACCTTTTTCTTTTAATATATTTACAGTAGTATTACTGTGCTCATTCAATATTTCATTTAAAACCTTCCCCACGGGTGTGAAATCAAAATCATAACCAGTATTTTCTTTTGTGATTTTCTGGCCAGATTTTTTACTCAATTTCTTAGTTTCATATGTATATGTAGTTATAGTGCTATCTAATTCAAGGTTAGAGTTAAATTCATTACGTACATTTTTTAATGCGTCGTTGTTCAAAATGTCTGTAACATTTTTAATATTGTTGTTCGCTTGTGTCATATCAAATTGAGAATTGTCTTTCAAATCAAAAGTGTTACTATTTATGATTTCTCGTTGAGAATTATTTAAAGTAGAATTATCTGATTCTTTTCCAATTGATGTTTCAGTTCTTTTTACCTCGCTATTTAATGCATGACTTGCGACATAACCTTTTGCAGCTCCTTCTATATTATTAACAACATCTTTTACTGGTTTGTAATTATATCTTTCTAGTGTAGCGTTTGCTGTAATACCATTTCCTAATATATCATTGTTCAGTGTCTTGTAACTAGAACTATCGCTAGATTTAACATTTGTATTTCCTTCTTGCTCAATGCATTTAGATTTTATTGATGTACTTTGATCAATAGTTTCCGCACCGCGTGATTCAGTTGAATCTTTTAATACTTCTTTCACTATTACGGGCTTTCTAAGTTCCTGACTTGTTTGCCGATTTGTTCGCAGTCCCAGTGAACTTTTGTGTTCTGGTTTCGGAATTCTTGATCTAGGGAAGGGCTCATTTGGTTCATTGCGCTAAAAGAGATTAATTTTTATGAAAATATTAAAGGAACATGAAGTATAAATATTATAATGTATTTAGCACATATTCTTTTAACGTACTAGTACTGTATATTATACTATTACTATATTATTTTAATGTTACTTATCTACACAAGCATTTCATAGCCGTAGTCGAAAACGAAAAAAAATGTTATAAGTTAGTAAGTAGTGATAAACAACAACTTCGACATATGAGACATAAATTTTTTTAATCCTTTGCTATTTTGGACAAAATAGTTTTCTTCTTTGGCACGCTTTCAGAACTATCCTTTTCGTGCGGTTTTGAGCCATCGTTGGAACTTATTCTTCGAATGATTCTATGAACTTTTCCTCTTAGGATTGGTATGTCTTCTTCCATTAAATTTTCAAAATTTTGTTCGGTTAAATTTTTGGTTATATAATTTGTTTTTGTTCTTATTTCGTTTGTTTTTGTACTAAATTCTTTTTGTGTTTCATAACCAAATTTTTCGTTAGTCGATGTAGTGTGTATTTTAGGAATAACTTCAGATTCAATTTTATGGTTTCCAATATTTTGGTTATGAGTCTTTGTTTCTTTTTCATTTATATTGACTTTCACATGACCTGATGTGAGTGTTGTTTCTACAGGTTTAATGTCGTAAGTCTTTTTTGGTTCTTCTATGTCATTTGTTTTTAATATAATGTGCCCTTTTGGGCTTTCAGACAGTTCAGTTGTTTCGGGTGCAAAGTTTTGTATACTTTCGTTTACTGTAGTTATTGTCCCTTGTTTTATTTTATTTGCAATATTGTTATCCAAAGTCGCTGAAAGATCAAACACAGGAACTGCGACTTTAACCGATTCTTTAGTTTTATCTTTTGCTGACCCTTGATAGTGCGAATCACTTTCATTTGTAATCGCAGTCGTCTTTGCTAATACTAAGGTATCCTCGTCATTATTAACATTATTATCTTTTGCTAACCCCTGATAGTGCGAATCACTTTCATTTGTAATCGCAGTCGTCTTTGCTAATACTAAGGTTTCCTCGTCATTATTAACATTCTTATCTTTTGCTGACCCTTGATAGTGCGAATCACTTTCATTTGTAATCGCAGTCGTCTTTGCTAATACTAAGGTATCCTCGTCATTATTAACATTATTATCTTTTGCTGACCCTTGATAGTGCGAATCACTTTCATTTGTAATCGCAGTCGTCTTTGCTAATACTAAGGTATCCTCGTCATTATTAACATTATTATCTTTTGCTGACCCTTGATAGTGCGAATCACTTTCATTTGTAATCGCAGTCGTCTTTGCTAATACTAAGGTATCCTCGTCATTATTAACATTATTATCTTTTGCTGACCCTTGATATTGCGAATCACTTTCATTTGTAATCGCAGTCGTCTTTGCTAATACTAAGGTATCCTCGTCATTATTAACATTATTATCTTTTGCTGACCCTTGATATTGCGAATCACTTTCATTTGTAATCGCAGTTGTTTTTGCTAATACTAAGGTATCCTCGTCGTTATTAACATTATTATCTGTATTGGTATCGTAATTTCTTGTAATTTTATAGTGATTGGTGTGAGAGGTTAGATTTTGTAACACAAACCTTTCAGTAGTTGTTTTCGTCTGTGTGTAAGTTCTTATTGTTTCTTTTGACTTAACATTTGTTTGTTCACCCACTTGTGTGTTATTTTCTTCATGTGTAGTGGGACTTATAGGTGTATCAATAGAAATGCTCTTTTTGAGTGTAGCTCTTTCTCTGTTCTGCGGCACTTCAATTTCGTGTACACTTTTTCGTTTTAATAGTGGAATTTTAGATTGTTTTACTTTATCTATACTTAAGGGCTGAACTTTATTTCCTTCATATGCATGCATAATTTCTTCGAAGGTGCTGTCAACATCATTGACATTTTCTATTTTATAACTTGTACTTTCTAGGGATGGTGTATCTTCTGTTTGTCCCATTTCTTGAAAGATCTTATCGAATTCTTCATCCGCCTTTGAAGTAGGAATATCTTCTTCTTTTGTAATTGCATTTATTTCTTTGTTATAAAAAGGAGGTGGGGATTTACTGCCTTTTAGTCTTGGAATTGATGATTTTCGATTTGAGCTACGAGGAATCTGAAAATAATAACATGGCAATAAATAGAAAATCGGTAGAAGTCTTTATTAGAGCGAATAAAAAATAAAGTTAACTAAAGAAAATGCATCTTTCTCAATGTATTCTGTGAAAATGTAAGAAATTAATGATGGATGAATGCTAAAATATATAAAAATAAAAATAATATAATAAAAATAATCTTATTTTTATAATATTATTTTTATTTTCTGGGTTGTCTGAAAGAGATTGCTATGTAGCAATAAGAACACCTTTTGTTTTCCCTCATTGTTCATTATTTGTTATATTTGTGTTTTGTTGGTGTACAATAATATAATAGAGAATATTATTTCATTCGGAGAAATACTTGAAAGAGGATTTGTCAAAAAAGGGGAATAACTGGAAGTGACACATCCCAATTGGATACAAGTAATGGCTCATAAAAGGATCGTTACGTCTGGGGAAGGATCATGCTTAAAAAGATTATGTTTTTAACATTGGGTGACAAACGAACACAAAGCCCATCTGATTGTAAGTGGATGCTGTGGCCCATAGATATCCTTCACATTTATCCTCAACTAAGATTCAAAATGCAAATGCCTTGTCACTCTGAAGAATAAGATGGAATGCCTCGATACCAGTAAAAAGGTTCTCCGGTTCTCTACATTGAACATACATAACACAGTAACATTACGCTGGTATTCTGTGAGAGTGTGGTCCTGCCCCGGTTGAGCCGATAATAGGAAGTACTACTTAGACTTTAGACTTGTGTGTCAATGTGTTTATATTTTTATACAGTTGATGGTAAGCGGATGCTACACTTAACATCTGGTCTAACACACCAGGCTTAAAACATTCTAAAACCTTAATCCGGGCTTTTGATCGTAAACTCGCTTCAGAAGGCCTGGAATTAAGTAAAAATAATTTGCGCATTCTGGCAAGACCGCTAACAGGACACTGTTGTCTTAAAAAGCACATGTCTATCCTGGAACTAAGTAACTCAAGGATGTGTCGGTTCTGTTCCATAACGGAAGAAACGCCTCTGCACATCTTAACTGATTGCGGACCCTTAATGCACAAGCGTAGCACTCATCTGGGAAACTATGTACTCCGCCCAGAAGAAGTGAAATTACTCACAGCTAAGCAACTCCAACTATTCATTAAAGACATAGGGCTTAGCCGTGAACTATAGCCATGCAGCGATACAGATCTTTTAGGTCGCAGTGATACTGGTCTCTTTCCCTAGACCTGCATAGCTGCTCGCATATAATAAAAAAAGCGGATGCTATGGCGCAAAGAAATCTACATCAATCACAATGCTGATGTGTTGACACTCCCTACAGTCGCGTAGCGAGGCAGGGTTCGGAGGAGCAATGCCCCCGATCGGCTGATTACACGGGGCGCCATTTTGGAAAAATTTTGAATGATGCTAATAAAATCTCAAGGAAACTGAAAAGCTTTCACTTTACACTTTTGATTACAATATTACAAGCACTGTAGTGTTCTTAATATTGTTATCGTGATATGTTAATATATTGCAATATATTGTTTTACTAATTTATTAAGGGCGGAGCTTTTTGGTCGTGGGTGACATAAGTCCAAACTACTGTACCCTTTAGTGATAAGATGGAATCCGTCTTTAGTAGTAAAAAGGGGCCCTGGTTTTCGACATTCCGTACATGAAACACTGCAGAATTTTGCTGCTATTTTTACGCTGCCAATCTATGCCAGCGTGGTTGTTTCTCGGTCGAGCTGATCCATATCTGCTGCTATAATACAACTGCAAGCTGGTTCTACCACTTAAGACTTACTATGTATTATAGTGTTGGGTATAGCATATTCGTTACTCTGTATAATAATAATATACCACTGTGTATTTTGAGTGTAGGAATCGGAGACCCTTTCTAACGGGAACAAAGCACTCCGTCTTAGTCCTCAGCGGTGACAACGCAACTGTATTTTGATTCTTAAAGATGTAGACGTCTATGGGCCACAGCATTAATTTACTATAAAGACGACCGTGTACTCGTTTGTCAACCTTCTACTATTAAATAAAACAGATTAAAAATGTTGGACACATCTAACAAGGCAACCGTCAACATTCCTATTACATGGTGATGATGATGATATCGGATGTCCGATGTTGTGCCTTTATTTACAAGCCCAATGGTAAAATAATAACTTAAAAACTTGACTGCGTAAAAGAGTTTACATAAAGGAGAATTTTTTTTACCCTATGTCACTTCGACTATTAAGACGAATCTAACGACATCCCATATACATATATATATCATTATAGCCCTTCACTCCACTTTAGTCCACTGCTGAATATAGGCCTCCCCCAAGGAATGCCACAAAGCACGGTGCTGAGCCACCTGCATCAATTGACACTCTGACGACTGATAGGTCGTCACTCCATCTAGTGGGTGTATATATATATATATATATATATATATATATATATATATATATATATATATATATATATATTGGCTATGTCCATGCGGTCGGAGCTAAGTTCTGCAAGACCCGCCGCAGAAGAACACAAAAACTCTCCGATCACACTCTTAATCTCATGGCTGTTAGACGGGAGATGAGGCTGCAATCGTCAACAGATTTGACAGCATACAGGCAACTGAACAGACAGATCTCCAAATGCATGCGGCGAGACTTACGCAACTTTAATACTGCTCGTATTAAAGAAGCGATCGAGCGGAACCAGGGCTCCAAAGTCTTTGCCAGAGATCTGTCTGCCCGTAAGAGCCAACTGTCAAGGCTGAAGACTGAGTGTGGCAGCATCGTTTCCGGGCCACCTGAGATTTTGAGTGAGATTGAGAGGTTCTATGGGCAGCTGTACACATCATCGTTGGAACCACACGCAAGTGTGAGTAACGATCCAAGAGCAAGTCTTATCCGACACTATTCCGATGATATCCCGGACGTCAGTCTAAGCGAGATTAGAATGGCTCTCCAGCACCTTAAAAACGGCAGGGCCCCAGGCGAGGATGGAATTACAGCGGAGCTTCTGAAAGCGGGTGGAATACCGGTACTTGAAGTCCTTCAGAAGCTCTTCAATTCCGTCCTCCATGGGGGCACTACTCCAGAGGCGTGGAGCAGAAGTGCGGTGGTCTTGTTCTTTAAGAAAGGCGACAACGCTCTCTTGAAGAACTACAGACCGATTTCCCTTCTGAGCCGCGTCTACGTGCTGTTTTCGAGAGTCATTACGAATCGTCTCGCACGCAGACTCGACGACTTCCAGCCTCCCGAACAAGCCGGTTTCCGAAAAGGCTTCAGTACCATAGACCACATACATACCCTGCGGCAGATTGTACAGAAGACTGAAGAGTACAATTTGCCACTTTGCCTGGCGTATGTGGACTATGAGAAAGCCTTTGATTCCGTCGAAATTTGGGCGGTGCTGCAGTCCCTTGAGCGGTGCCAAGTTGACTGTCGGTATATCGAAGTGCTGAAGTGTTTGTACAGTAGGGCTACGATGGCTATCCGAGTACAGAACCAGAGCTCGAAACCTATCCAAATGCGGAGAGGTGTAAGACAGGGTGACGTTATATCCCCGAAACTCTTCACCGCTGCTTTGGAAGACGTTTTCAAGCTACTGGACTGGAAAGGATACGGTATTAACATCAATGGCGAGTACATCACTCACCTTCGATTTGCCGACGATATAGTCCTTATGGCAGAATCGCTGGAGGACTTAAGCACTATGCTCAATGACCTCAATAGTGCCTCCCAACGGATAGGTCTTAAGATGAACATGGACAAAACAAAGATCATGTTTAATGTCCATGTCACACCTATGCCGGTAGTTGTTGGGAGCACTATGCTCGAAGTTGTTGACGAGTACGTTTACCTGGGACAAATAGTCCGATTAGGTAAGTCCAACTTCGATCGAGAGGTCAATCGACGGATTCAACTCGGCTGGGCAGCGTTCGGGAAATTACGACACATCTTCTCGTCAGGTATACCTCAATCTCTGAAAACTAAAGTGTACAACCAGTGTGTGTTGCTAGTGATGACTTACGGATCAGAGACGTGGTCCTTCACTGCTGGCCGTATGAGGACGCTCAAGGTCGCTCAGCGAGCTAATGAGAGGGCTATGCTCGGAGTTTCTCTACGTGATAGACTCAGAAATGAGGATATCCGCAGTAAAACTAGATTGACCGACATAGCCCAACGGATTAGTAAGCTGAAGTGGCAATGGGCCGGCCATATAGCTCGAAGAACCGATAACCGATGGGGAAGAAAGGTTCTCGAGTGGCAGCCTCGTACCGGTAGGCGTAATGTAGGGCGACCCCCCACTAGATGGAGTGACGACCTGGTAAGATATGCAGGAAGTCGATGGATGCAGGTGGCTCAGGACCGTGCTTTGTGGCATTACTTGGGGGAGGCCTATGTTCAGCAGTGGACTTGTGAAGGGCTGTGATGATGATGATGATGATAATACTCACATCTTGTTCTTTGTCTGAGCCCATCCTTTCTTTTCGTTCCTTTTTAACTTTATCAATCGCCTGCCTAAACCTGGATGTCGGTATTCTGGTTCTTGTCCTTTTAAATTCCATTGTTTCTTTTTCTGTAAGTATTAAAAGAATATGATTAACCAAAGCTTCAGCTTTAGCTCTGGTTTTGATTTGCAATGAAATCAATTCCTGTTTGTTTTTTTATCGTTCAGAAACTTAGACCGTTTTGGGACGAAAAACATTATTTTATATAAGAAGGGGCAAACAATCATTCGGCTCAACTGATGGTGATTACTGCCGCCCATGAGAAACTGTAACACCAGAGGAATCGCAGGTGCGTTTTCTGCCTTTTAAGAAAGAGCAAGATCTTTTCTTAAGGCGACACCGTGAAAAAATGCACCTCCTTTCATCGAATAGTATAGGACTATGACACCACTAACGAAAGTGGGATTTTGATATAGGTAAATTCATGTCTTTATCTTGAATTTGATTGCTCAAAAACACGACTGTATAATTTTGACTCGATCATAATTATTTGTGAAAACACCTCTAAAGAATCACTATAGTTGAAATTACGACAAAACATTTGATCTATTTGCTTGGGAATCACTCATATATATTGATAACATCAATATTCATAATTTGCTCTCTCATTATTTTGATAACTTAAATCAATAATTTTTTAAAAAATATTTTAAGATTCTGACAATTTCTAAGCGCTTTTAATCTTCGCGGGCGCTACGCAATTTTAGACCTTATGACGGCGTTTCTTCAAGTTTTTATAGAAATTATGTATTCACTCGGATCAGTACGGGGTTAGCGTTTTCGATGTGTCGTCTTAACTAAGGAAGTTGTGCGAGGAAGAATACTTTTAGTAAGTCGCCATTCACCCAGACGGTATAGACTATAGATGGTTACACGAGTTTTGTCCCAATGTGTGATAGTGAAATTTATTTGAACGTTTGAAAATGAACATTCCTCGTGATAGATGCGATAGAATATGCAAAGGGGTGCAACATCTGTGCGGTGCTAGTGAGCCAATCTGATCAGAATAAACCGGAAGAAGTAGGCATTTGAGTGAAGCCTAGAGAGTAAAACAGTATTTCATGTGAGGCTGAACTTGTGTCAATGACCTGATTGTCGTCGCATAGAGTAAGCGTTGCGGAGAGGCGTCGTGGGCGCATCCTTCGCAAGCATATATGTTAAGAGACAAAACATACTATTGCTTTGAAATTGAAGAAGTACTGTTCATTTTATTACAAAATATATTCCAAGCAGTTAGAAAAAGATGGATTAATTTTTACTTAACATAGATTAAAATAATTCTTTTTTGGGTAATTTTTTTACTTTTATCACCACTTCGGAATAATCTTCTGTTCTGGGAAGAAACAGCAAGAAACTCGGCGGGATATTTTTGCCGAAGTAAAATTATACAATGAAACGGTTGTACAATTAATTACAAAACTGATTTTGGAAACATGAAAATGTTAGGGGCTATCAGCCTTGTTTTGTTCGTAAATGAATTATTGACTCTGTAGAGTCGAGTACCCGGTATAACTTGATTGTTTTTGCCTTATTCTTTTATTTTTGTTTTTGTGAACATGTGTATTATGGCCAGAACAAAAATTTTTTTTGATGCTCATCGCCCACATAGGCAAGAAACAAAAAGCTATTCTTTTTGAATTTTGGGTTATGTACTTCAATAAAAAAAAAACAAATGGTTTCCTTATAGAATTATCTTGTATTTGATATTATTCCTTAAAGATATTAATTTAAGCATTATCTTTCTAACTTAATTATAAACATTGACAGAGCCATGTATCAGTTTTTTTTATAGAAGAGGCGGCAAACGAGCATACGGTTCACCTGATGTTAAGTGACTACCGCCGCCCATGAATAGGTTACTAAAAGTTTGGCCCGACCAGCGTATAATAGCAGCTAATGCTAGTTTCGCATGGTGAGGTAGAGACCCGGAGATATTTTTTAATGAAAATGAGTCATTCCATCTTAATCATCAGGGGTGATAACGCATCTGCTTTTTGATTCGTTATCGAGGATTGATGTAGATATCTATTGGGCACAGCATCCACTTTACCATCAGGTGGACTGTGTGCTCGTTTGACACCCTTATTCTATAAAAAAGTGTCATTTTTTTTGAGAACCTTGCACTTGTCTGTCTTTTTTTAGAACCAAAGGCACACGGATTTAAGTCAATATTGCGAGAGTGCTATTCTATAATATAATTCTATTAAACTTCTCTATAACTAAAAAAATGCTTGTAACGCTATTCACATTGCTTATACTTCTACTGTTTTAAAGTGTTTCACCACTAGGGTTGCCATCTCTTTTTTTTGAACAAATATAGTATTTTTCCCAATAAAGATACAAAACTATACTTTTGAGAAATTCAGGAGAAAAAATTATATACTCGTATGTATTTTTAAAATAAATATAAGAGTGTGAGCAATTTAGATTCATATTAAAATAATTAACAATTCATTTTGAATTAAACTAATATATGCTCTATTTCTTTCTTCTTTCAATTTTACATTCATCAAACTTTTTGTACCAGTCTTCCATCACAATAAATATAAAAAGGGGTTTGTTTTTTCGTACTATATTATGTTTGTATAATATATTTACAAGTGAGTGAAATATAGTACGATACTATATATTATATACTAGCATGGGGGATTCGAAACCACGACGTTCTGAGTTTGCGTTCCGAGTTCTATGAGGTTAGTCGCTTAGGATTTATTTCAATTTTAATTTAAGGAAAAGGGTCCTAAGAGTCACCTGTATGTAGTGGTGGATGTTCTGATTTTTCATCGTTTCTGTGACCGTTAGTTTCGCCATTCGGACGTGGTATCTTTGTATTCATTTCGTAAGTAAGACGACGATTAACAACGTTTTCTTGAGACTCTTGATCATTGGTAACTGTGTGCTGAAATTTAAATGTATACATATAAATAAAATTGAAGCGTCCGTCTATAATATTATATTTATAATAATGTAATATTAATTTTCCTAATGTTATATAGTGAGGGTGATATGGTCGTCAGGTTAATATGGTTACTTTCTTATAACTGAAAAACTACAACCTTGTTTGTATAAATGCCTTTCTGATACGATAGCTCTTAATCGGTCACTCAAATAATAAAGCTATGGAGTGTAGAAGTAAGGAGTACAGACTGTGTATTAAAAAGTGTCCATAGAAAACCGTTAAATAAGGGCGGCGCCACTATAGCTACGGGCTAAATTTTAAAGAACACACCGAAAAATATTAGTGGGATAGACGACTTTTTCGAGGTTATATTTACTGAATAAAACTATTTTAGAATTTATAGCTACTGAGCAGTTTAGCAGTACACTTAAACCGTCGACAACTGCTAAGTTCATTTCATCCCAGTAGCTACTCCAGCGCTGTTGTGGAGAGTTTTTGAACTGTTATTTACTGCTTACAGATGGCCACTTTTTCAAATATTCTACTATGGGAGTTCGTACTCCTTACTTCTACACTCCATAAATAAAGGGTCAAAAGGGCGTTGCTTTAACGACGCTATTTTGACAGTTGACATTATATTAAATAAGTCGATTTTAGTATGGTGTAGTGTAGTTAGTTTTTTAAGTAGATTTTTCGAGGTGTTCCTAATTATTGTCAAAGCTTGTTTGCTATTTTTTCTTTGTGTTTTTGTTACGGATCTTCTCCTAGTTTTGGTTTTATAGGGCGACAAAGCTTATTGTGACTATATTACCATCACGTATCTTATTCATTGAGTTATATGTACTACGTACTAGAGAAGCTATTCCAAACAATAAATGTGCACTACTCTGTATCCGCACATGCGCGGGAAACAGTAGAGTCGCGCATGCGCAGTTGATATAAACGCGCGAAAATTGTCATAATAAATAATTGTTTATTTAGATTGTATTGTTAATTGAGTACATTTTTAAATGTCGTTTATTTTGCATATGTGCTAATTTAATATAAAATTATTATTAGCGCCGCTCCGCACTGCATGAATATCGAAGCCACAATAACGTGTGTACGGATTGCAGTACAGTTCAGTCGAACATAGTGAGTGTTCGGAATGCCATATCTAGTGCGTAGTACATATATATATACATCGATGACCTTATTAAATTTGTAATAATTTAATATAATATTAAATGTAATATTATATATTACTTATATTATACTTATAGGCTTCTATTAAGCTTATGGGGTAATCTCCATGACACATAAATAACCATTTTTGAAAGTTGTCGGTTTGTCTTTTGTCTCGACATATGTGATCCAAATGTTATGAAACTTTACGAACATATAGAGAGAAATACCAGGATCTTATAGATCCCTATCTAGGATATATTTTAATCGGAAAACTTGATGACTATCACGTGGTAGAGTCATGTTGCAGTCACATTAGTGGTGTAATTGTAGCATGAAAGGGTCGGCTCGACCGGGGAAGGACCACGCTCTCACAGAATACCAGCGTAAAATAGCAGCTTAATGCTGCCGTGTTTTGTATGGTGAGTATAGAGAACCGGAGACCCTTTTTACTGGAAATGATGCATTCCATCTTAGTCCGTACAGGTGACAACGCCTCTGCATTTTGATTCATAATCGAGGATAGATCGTAATCCTCGGCGACTTTAACGCCCATCATGCCGAATGACTTGGTTCACGTTTAACCGATCATGCGGGGAGATCTGTTCATGATTTTGCCTTAGCATATGGTCTGACTCAACCGGTTACTTCGCCTACGCGGATTCCAGATGTGGAGGATCATGCACCTTCCCTGTTGGACCTTCTGCTGACCTCTCACCCGGATGGATATCAGATTTCCGTCGACGCCCCTTTAGGCTCCTCGGACCATTGTCTTGTTCGGAGTGTGGTGCCACTCACGCTGAAATCGCAGTTGCATTCTGCAGGCTGCCGCCGTGTTTGGCACTATATGGATATACACCTATATGGGATGGGATGCGGTCTTTCTTTGCATCCTACCCTTGGGGGCGGGTTTGCTTCTCGCCGGACGATCCCAACGTTGTTGCGGATTCTGTCGCTGATGTGGTACTTCAGGGTATGGAACTTTTTATTCCTTCCTCTGTGGTGCCCATTGGAGGCAAATCTCAGCCATGGTTTGGTCGCTCCTGTGAAATAGCATCATGCTATAAGCAGGAGTGCTACCAAGCCTGGGCTGACGCATCAGCGTCTCGGGATGTAAACACCAGCGCTCTAAAAAAGAAGTATAATTCCGCCTCTAGGTCCTTCAAAAGAGTCATTGCCAAGGCAAAGTCAGAGCACATAGGCAGAATTGGCGAGAAACTAGTTCGCTTTCCTTCTGGAACCCCTGGTTAAGGCTCCGGGAATTTCTGTCAGCCATCTCTTCCATCTCTGCACAGGGAGGACGACTCACTGGCCCATACTGTAAAGGAGAAAGCCGATCTTCTAGGCTCTCTTTGGTCCAACTCGACCCTCGATGACGGGGGGAGTACGCCGCCGACCATCCCGTGGTGTGAGTGCTCCATGGCGGAAGTGCAGTTCACACAGCGCTCGGTTCGCAAAGCACTCCTCTCCCTGGACATCCACAAGTCGAGTGGGCCTGACGGAATCCCCCCAATTGTGCTGAGGACGTGTGCTCCAGAGTTGGCACCGGTTTTAACGCGTCTTTTCCGGTACTCCTACTCCCTAGGCGTAGTCCCAAAATCATGGAAGACGGCTTTCGTCCACCCGATCCCTAAAAAAGGCGACCGCTCAGACCCGTCCAACTACCGGCCTCTCGCCAGCACCTCCTTGTTCTCCAAAACAATGTAGTCCATTGTAAACTGCCAGCTCATGAGGTACCTTGAGGATCACCAGCTGATTAGTGACAGCCAATACGGTTTTCGCCGTGGTCGGTCAGCTGGTGATCTTCTGGTCTACCTAACTCACAGATGGGCGGAGGCAGTAGAGTCCAAGGGGGAGGCATTGGCCGTTAGTTTGGACATTGCGAAGGCCTTCGATCGGGTTTGGCACAAAGCGCTTCTTTCGAAGCTCCCTTCCTATGGGCTTCCCGAGAAATTGTGCGATTGGATCACCAGATTTCTTGCAGATCCGAGCATCAAGGTCGTTGTAGACGGTGCAAGCTCCGATTGCAAGCCTATTAACGCTGGTGTTCCACAAGGCTGCGTGCTATCGCCAACGCTGCTTCTGCATATCAATGATATGTTGCAAACCCGTAACATTCATTGCTATGCAGATGACAGCACTGGTGATGCTCTTTACACCGGCCGAGCCAATATTTCTCGGGAAAACGTTCTGTGTCGGGACAAACTTGTGTCTGAAGTCGAGTCTTTGCTCAACAGAGTCTCGGATTGGGGGCGACTAAATCTAGTCCAGTTTAACCCCCAGAAGACACAAATTTGCGCCTTAACCGCTAAAAAGAACCCCTTTGTCGTATCTCCTCAGTTTCAAGGCACTCACCTTGTTGCCTCAGCCAGTATTGGAATCCTCGGCGTCGACATATCGAGTGACGTGCAGTTTCGTGGTCACTTGGAAGAGCAGGCCTAATTGGCCTCTAAAAAGCTTGGCGTGCTCAGCAGAGCGGGACAGTATTTCATGCCGGCACACCGCCTGCAACTTTACAAGGCGCAGGTTCGGCCGCACATGGAATACTGTTCCCATCTCTGGGCTGGGGCTCCCCAGTACCAGCTCCTTCCACTTGACCGCATCCAGCGCAGAGCGGCTCGAATCGTCGACGACCGAGTGCTTTCCGATCGGCTCGATTCACTGGCACTGCGAAGAGATGTTGCATCTCTTTGCATTTTCTTTCGCATATACCATGGAGAGTGCTCTGAGGAATTGGTCGGATTAATCCCAGCCGCCAAATTTCGTGAACGCACTAGGGCAAACATACCAACACCATCTGGATGCTTGGCGGTCCACCACTGTACGTTTCAAGAGGAGTTTTCTTCCGCGTACAACCTCTCTGTGGAATAGTTTACCACCAGCCATTTTTCCGGACTGATACGACCTGGGGACCTTCAAGAAAAGAGCTTACTTCTTTCTAAAGGGCCGGCAACGCACCTGCAATTCCCCTGGTGTTGCGGTTGATCATGGGCGGCGATAGTCACTTAACATCAGGTGAGTCGCATGCTCGTTTGCCCCCTCCTCTATAAAAAAAATAGATGTGGATGTCGATGGACCACGGCAACCACTTACCATTAGGTGGGCTGTGTGCTCGTTTGTCACCCTATCCTATAAAAAAAAAAGAACAAATAAATGAAAAATTTATGGTTGTTGGCCAGCCATAAAGCTCACTGAACCGACAATCGATGAGAAAGAAAGGTTCTCAAATGCCAGCTTCGTACTGGTAAGCAAAGTCTATGGTGGCCCCATGTGGCGACCTGGTCAGATATATAGTTAGTTGATAGATGCAGGTGGTTCAGGACCGCGGTTTGTGTCATTTCCTGGGGAAGCCTACGTTCGGCAGTGGACTTTTGAAGGACTGTAATGATGATGATGATAATAATGAATAATTCAACTGTTTTTACTACGACCTATGACACGCCCACTTACGTAGGCGTACTTTTGGGATATGTTTTATACGAGTCGTCTGTGGGCAAGGTATACGGTATAGGTATGAGGGAGGCTGCCTAGGTTCTGTAGTGCATCGAGAATCTTCACGGAAGTCAAAATATTAGTTTTAATTGGAAAATGGTGACAAAGGGGCACACAGTCCATTCGATGGTGTGATCAGTGGATACTTTGCCTTATAGACGTCTGAATCTATCTTCGATTAAAAATCAAACTGCACATGAGTATTGTCACCACTGAGGACTAAGATAGAATACCTCGTATCCAATAAAATGGATCTCCGGTTTTCTACACTCACAATACGACATCCATTCGTACCACCTACACTTCGAAAAAATATACACAAAATTGCTTTATCTTCCGTTTGTTAAAATTATACAACAATGAGTTTGTAAATCTCTATCTCTTTAGTGGCTCCTTAAAAATTCTTAAACGAACTAGCTTTAAAAGTTGTTTAGATAAATACTTAATACATAAATAATAATAGAAAATAGAATAGTAATAATAGAATAAACCTCTGTAATGTGTTAATTGTCAGTCCATAAACAATTTTGATCAAGTTACCCATATATAAATTTACTAATTAGGTTGAACCTAACTAGGGAGAAAGTCTTTCAACTTGCTTAATTGAAGTGTTAGTCTAAATGTATTTTTCGGCATTACAATACCGTATTTGATATGTAATGACTGTTTGTGTCACAATAAAAAATAAAAAATAAAGTGATTATTATTTAGACCCGCTGGATGTTTGCCACCATGTGCAGTTTATGTATGCAAAACACCTCTATAATACATTAAAACCTACTGTCGTATTATTTAGTAAATAAAAGGAAAGACCATTTTAAAACGAAAATAAGAAATTTCACTCATTGATTATTATTTCAAATTACGAAGTTATGCTACCATTTAACTCACTTCTGCATCAACAGATGACGCTGTAATTAAAATGCCCGTTTTTATGAATAGTTTACTTCTATAGCTCACTAGGGGGCAGGACTCATTTCTCTGTCAAGAAGTCCGTCTGTGAAAGACCGCCCTCTTACCTATAAGCTGTGAGACATTCCATCTTATACCTCAGGGGTGACATCGCATATTATGTAGCCTTTTTTTGAAGTTGACTTCAGGAATCATTGAACTGCGGCGGTCGCTCACAAGTAGGTGGACTGTCAGTTTTTTTTTCATAAGTCACCTCCGTTAAATTAATAAAAAATTAAAGGCAAAATATACTTGTTCAATTATTTAAACAAATATCGCATCTGGTTCTTAGAGTAATAGAATACATAATATGTCTTGTTGAAATTCGAATATTGAACTACCGTTACATTTACCTTTACCCTTACAGTCTACCAAAAGCACACTGTTTAATATGCCGTTCTTATAGATTATTGCCAAATTTGCCACGTTTTGCCAAATTTGCCTCATAAGTATTTGCCACGCTTGGCATTGTAGAGCCACGCTGCAGCTATATTATGGTTGTAGCACGAGTGGGGGTCGGTTCGAACGGGGAAGGACCACGCTCTCACAGAATACCAGCGTAAAATAGCAGCTTAATACTGCTGTGTTTCGTATGGTGAGTGTAGAGAACCGGAGACCCTTTATTACTGGAAACGAGGCATTCCATCCAGGTCCTCAGGGGTGACAACGCATCTACGTTTCGATTCTTAATTTCTCTATGGGCCACAGCATCCACTTACCATCAGGTGGACTGTGTGCTCGTTTGTCACCCTAGTTCTATAAAAAAAGACAGTTTGCAAACCGCAGTTTTTTGGGAGACGCTGCTCTTACGACACCCAGAGTACGCTATAGGGTATTGGATATTCTTACACCACCACTACATGGCGTTTTATTGTATGGATAATTCACGCGTGCGTGTGTTTGTTGATATACTTGACACACATGGTATCGTCTGATATATCTATGGCACAGTGCGGATCGAATAATCTTCGTTTAATTCCCCAACTTTTTATAAAAAAACACTAAAACGTCCGTCATTATTAGATAGATGTTCACGTTGATTAAAACTACTTTTACGGATTTTATCGCGTTTATTTTACTATTATTATGTCGGACATATAGCCGATGTGAAGCATCAACGTTCCGGGAAGTCTGCAGTTTGCGAACATATCCTAGACGGCCCCAACCATTACATCAGATTTGATAGAACACAAATCCTCGCGAAAGAACACCGATTCCTACCAAGGATGATACGTGAGGCTATTGAAATTCAAAAACATCCTAATTTCAATAGAGAAAAAGGCTGGGTACTACCACCTGCTTGGGATCCTATAATCAATAAAATTAAAACTAAATCCAAGCATACCACTACAAGGCCTCAGGACATAGTTCATTTGCATAGATCGGACCATAAACAATAATTAAAAAAAGCTGAAGGTACTCCGGGTTTAACAATGACATCGGGACGTCAGTCATCTCAGTCCCCCGTGACCATGGGTTCTGGAAAGCGCCCGAAACGTCGGGAATCAAAAATAATAGTAAAATAAACGCTATAAAATCCGTAAAAGTAGTTTTAATCAATGTGTAGTATTCGTGTAAATATAAGAAATCGTTATGTAGATGTTCACGTGTTCTATAGACCCGTAGACAGAGAAACCTATAGACAAATTGACGCCTTCTTTCGCATTGCATAGAAATGAGACAGAGGGCTGTTATTGTTTGTCCCTTTCTCCGTGCCGGTTTTTTTTGTTTAGCAAACTACACTTTGCTAGACAACTTAGACAATTCGTAGCGATCTAAGGAGTTTACAAGTTGGTTTAAGTGAGAAAAAAGTGTTTTGTGAGCTTAAGATTGGATAATCTTGTTCAGTTCAGTTCTTAGAACAATTAAAATTTTTATATGTTTAAAAGTCATAAAGATTATTGTATAACCTAAAACTACGTCATCGTCCTTTCTCACTCGAGGCCACGCTAATCATTAGTCTATAGGTTTCTTTGTCTACGTATAGATCTAAGTAAATAAAAGACACACACGTTATTCCATCTTTATTCCATTTAATATTTGTAATCTAATTTCTGCACGGTCGTCACCACAGTTTTACCTGGCATCGTTTGCTTTTTAAACAAATGCTGATATCTTACCGATATGTCTTCCGTAACAACCACTTTCTGAAGCTTCAAGTCGCCTTTGCTGAATGACGTCTCGTGCTTCGTAACTGTTATAACTGGATCCAAAGTAAAATCGTCGGTCGTTGCAATTTCACTCATATTCCCATCGGTTACAGTTTCATTTTCTCTATTGGTAGCGTGCTGATTACGGCTTTCATCTTTTACGCTTGAATTTGAGGCTTCAATTCCCGAACTATTAGCGTTGGTTCCTCGTATATTCTGTTCGCCTGGTACTTCAGACTCAATATTTGTTGACGCAGCTTCCGACATTTTTCTAAATAAAAAAAGTTTGTTAAACCGTTTTATTTTGTTAATTAACTTACTTCGTTTACAGAAAAGAGGGGGTGGGGAGAGGTAGGATTTTTATTGGACCACCACAAGTATAGGTACAAAAAGTCAATACGGGAGTCTGGTCATTTTCGTCAGGTGTAATAAACAAGATAACGTTTAGTACCTCTAGTTAACTAACTGCTTCATTGGTCTAGATCGTAACCTTGATTGCTGAATCTTGTGGTCCAGCGTTTGAATTCCAGTTTCGGTCAAAATAAGTTATTAGATATTTTTGAAAAAAGTAAGTATATCCTATACTATTAAACGAGCAATTCTTGTATATATATATATAATCGGGATCTCGGAAACGGCTCCAACGATTTTCATAAAATTTAGTGTCCCGGGAGTTTCGGGGATAAAAAATCGATCTAGCTAGGATTTATTTTTAGAAAATGTCTTTTTGCCCGTGTTTTTAGGCAATGAAAAACTGCTACAATATCGTTAGAATAAGAAGGTAAATTTTGACAGATTGTTAATGATTATAAATAGCTTAATTGGTGTAATGGGCGGTCACAGAAACGTAAAACCCCGGTTCGGGCCAAAGACCGACCGACCGAGTTTGTTTCAATTTTTTTTCAAGTTCCTTTCTTTTTTGAGAAAATCTATTTTTTCGAGCCCTTTTTTTAGTATTTTTTAAAAACACGAAAATTTATATTAAAATAATTGCACTCATGATTTTTTATTCAAATAACCAGTTCCGTTTTTTCTGTTATGTCGCTAAGATCAAAAAATATTATTCATATTTCATCAGTATGTAATTTGTATCTAAATAAAATTTCCAAAACACACGAATTAAAAAAAATCGAGCGAAAAATACCGAGCAAAGCTCGGTCAACCGGGTACTTAAATACTTAGTATGAAAACAATATTACGAATTAAGCACTATTCCATGATTCAAATAGCAAAAAGAAATAAAGTTGCAACCAAAATTACATTATATGAATATACTGCACCGGCCCGATGCACTCTGCATATAGCGTCGTTAATTGACCTTACATTTAGACTCCGAATGAATAAACTAAGTAAGCAATCATGGCAGAGTTGTAATAATTATGAAAATGAGAAAAAATACCTAACAAAGTGCGATCTCCTTTAATTTTAAAAAATCTATGAATACCAAACCCCTAACTTTTTACGTGGTAAAGCCATACTATAGCCATTAGTTGGCTACAGAAAGAATATGTCAGCTTGTAAAGGACTAAGCTCTAATACCAGTATACTAATACCAGCGTAAAATAGCAATTTAATGCCGCTGTGTTTCGTATGGTGATTGTAGAGAACCGGAGACCCATTTTCATTGATAATGAGGCATTTCATCTACATCCTCAGTAGTGACAACGCTAGATTTTCATTCTTCACTGAGGATAGAATCGCATGTTTCATATAATGATGCAACATGCGATGTCGTTTGGCTAGTGAACAGAACGGGAGACCTTTTAATATTAGTAAAGTAAAAGTAGAGTATAAGTATAGGCTTTGTACGATTCACTGTGCACAATTCTAATTTCTGAAAGGTTTCCATATTTTATCAAGCCATTAGTCGGTGCGTGTTGGAGTCCTTCACAACGCAAACGCTTTTTAAAATATATTATTTCTTGAATATGCAGGTTTCCTCAAAATGTTTTCCTTCACCGTACAGTTGAAATTACCAATTTGAATGGTTCAGGTGGGGCTTAAAATCGGGTCATTCGCATACTGTGAAATTTAGAGCGAGCACTTATCTTCAGGGCTACCACTAGTCTATTTATATTAGTCTTAGGATATAATATGCAGATATGTTGTCACCACTAAGGCTTAGCTCTCAACAACAGACAACGTATCTACTGTATTCGATTCTTGCTCGATAAAGGTGTAGGCATCTATGGGCTGATATTCAGTGACCGTCAGGACGATATGTTCAGTTGTGGTCTTGAAAAGACTTGACACCGAATACGATGAATCAAACGAATGAACAAAATTAAAATGTACTCACATATCTCTCCCGCTCACAAGGAATTTCAACAAAGAACTGTGTCCAACACTTTCCATCAATAATCACTTTTTATCACAGATAATAAATATTAATCTATCCTTACGTGTAATTGCATTCGATAACAGTCTGTATCATTTACTTAATATATTTATATAAGACTATATGAATAGACATTTAACGTGTGGTGATCTACAGCGGAAATATATAGATTGACGAGGCCTGGTTTTTTATACTTTCTTATTGGAGGATTGTGAAGTGCCGATAAGCGGCGCGAGTAGGTATTTTCAAAAATGCTACCTGTTTCATACTGCTCGCTCTGCCTCCCTCCTTGTGCGATAGAGAGAGTTGCTAGTCTTGGAGGCAATTGCCTACATTTCTTTTTTGAAATAATGTTTCGGGCGACAACGGTTTTACACCCCTAATTCTTTACGAAATGAGATAATTATCTCTCATTAGATTTCATACACCTTCATATATGTCAGTACGTTTATCTTTTTCAGGAATTCGGTTTAGTTTAATTTAAAAAAAATAAAAACACTCCAGGAAGTTTTAAAATCAAAAATATAGATATTTAAATAGTAATAACTATCGTATACAATAATCCTTAAAAATAAAAACGTACGAATCTAGTTTTTTTTATAAAACCAAAAATTTATCACACAATTTTTTTTTTATTCAATTTTTGTCTTCTCATTATTAGTTCATCACAAGTCGGCTGTTAAAGATAAGCCTCCTTTAGATAATATAATAATGGGCATATTTGCCATAGTTGCCACGTTTGGGTAGGCAACATCTTTTTTTTAATTAAAGAGTTGTGATCAGGTCAAGTTGCTGCTGCTCATCTTCTGTTGTAGTTCACCTCTATTCTTACAGCACCCACGGGATGATACGGGGTAGTGGAGTGCAACACCCCCACTACACTCTAATTAAAATTCAGTTTAGAAACCGTAAATTAGTATTTAAAGCAGTGTTGGTACCAAACGAGATTGAACCCGGTTCGCTCGTGTGATACGTACCTAATTTACAGTGAGCTACAGCTTTTTTTCTAATAGAATAAGGGTAATAAACGAGTACACAGCCTACCTGATGGTAGTCCACTTACCATCAGGTGGGCTGTGTGCTCGTTAGGCTTGTGCTAGGGCCCATTGATAATAATTATTCTCGATTAGGAATCAAAATGCAGATGCGTCGCAACCCTTGAAGTCCTGGTAGAGCCACGCTGCAGTTATATTATGGTTGTAATACGAATGGGTCGACTCGCTTGGCGAAGAACCACGCTCTCACAGAATACCAGCGTAAAATAGCAGCTTAATACTGCTGTGTGTCGTATGGTGAGTGTAAAGATCTGGAGACCCTTTTTCACTGGAAACGAGGCATTCCATCTTAGTCCTCAGGGGTGACAACGCATCTGCGTTTTGATTCTTAATCGAGGATAGATGCATAAACTTCGTAAACTTTTTGCAGCTGCCCGATCGTTGAACAGATTAAGGAACTTTCTACCTACTGCCACTAAAATTGCGCTTGCTCAATCTCCTCTTCTCCCAATTGTGTGACTATGCAGATGTCAGCTATCTTGATCTCACTGAGAAGCAACTTGATAAACTTGAGCGTCTTCAAAACTTTTGTATAAGATTCATATTTGGTTTGCGCAAATATGATCACGTATCTTGTTTTCGTAATAAGCTCAAGTGGCTTCCTATCCGTCTTCGCCGGAATGCTCATATTATGTCACTTCTTTACAATGTTCTCTTTAATCCTTCCTATCCTTCTTATCTTAAGGATCGTTTTGAATTCCTTCACTATTCCCATTCGAAAGTTTTGAGATCAGAGAATTTTACATTAAAAATGCCTGCCCATAATAGCAAATTTATGGACAGGTCGTTTAGTATCCAAGCTGTCCGTCTATGGAATGCCCTACCTCTGTCAGTGAGACGCGCCCAGTCTTTACCTGTTTTTCAGAAACTTGTACATAGTCACTATCTTAATCTTTGAGTTCGTGCCATTTATATATATAGTATACATTCGTATTTTTTTTGTATTTATTTGCTGTTTATTTCTAATTATATTATATAAAATATGGATATATTTATAAATATTGTTTCTGCATCACCAAACCACACAATTTACTATTTTTTGATATCCTGTCCATCCAAAGGTTGTCTGGAAGAAATCGCTTTTAGCGATAAGACCGCCCATTGTGACACTATTTTTTTTCTTCTTCTTTCGTTTATGTATTGATTTGGTGTACAATAAAGAATTATCTATCTATCTATCTATAGATGTAGATGTCTATGGGCCACAGAATCCACCTACCACCAGGTGAACTGTGTGTTCGTTTGTCATCCTAATTCTATAAAATAAAAAATAAAAAGACTAAGACGAAATGCCTCGATACCAGTAAAAAAGGATCGCCGGTTTTCTACACTCACTATCCGAAACACAGTAGAGCTGCTATTTTACACTGGTATTCTATGAGAGTGCGTTCCTTCCCCCGTCGAGCCTGTTATCGAAAATATAGCTGCGGAGTGGCACTACCACCTGTAAAATATTCTTTCTTATGTTAGGTTTAAGTTATTAACATCGATTGGAGATTTGGGAAATTTAAGAAGTATGTACTTTTAAATTAAACTAATTTTATCGTTACCATCATTACAGTCCATCACAACTTGACTGTGTTAGATAAGCTACTATAGATAATATAATAAGAAGGAATATCCCCCTGCCATAGTTCCCACGCTGGGTAGGGGAATTGGCAACGGTAGTTTTAAATAATAAGTCTCTATCCGACACATTACAAAAAGTATTTTATAGTTACGTATCAGGATTAAAACAGTCAGGGTCCGTTTAAATAATGTCTACTAGAAAATATGTGAACTTAAATATGCCAAGTATGGCATTTTTTTGGAGTAAGGGTGACAAGTGAGAACACAGTCCAACTGATGGTAAGTGGTTGCTGTAGCCCATAGACATCTACATCTATCCTCGTTAAAAATCTAAATGAAAATGCGTTGTCACCTCTGAAGACTAAGATGGAGTGCCTCGTTTCCAGTAATAAGGGTCTGCGGCTCTCTACACTCACTATACGAAACACAGCAGCATTGTGCTGCTATTTAGTATTAAAATATAAAAAAATCAGATATATTCACCCAATCGATCAGTTATCGAATGCAATTTTGACACTCATTTCAATTAAAGTACTTTCTACGGGCTGTTAAAACAGAAATACTGTGTAAACTGTACGGGGAAATAAGTAAATGACGTCATAATTTATTGCTGTCAAATATCTTATTTGTACGATTTTAAACGTTAAAAATATAATTTAAAACAAAACCTATCAAGGCTTTAAATATCACGAACGGTAACAAATATTAATTCTGTAATAATTTATTTTAATAACCAAAATATTTACACAAAGCACTTTCCTAAACACCACTTACGCTTAGTCACTCACTTTACACGAATGTCACTTTTTTGAATAACGAATGTAACTTTGTTTTTTTTTTATTTGCTTAAAAATTATGTCTTCACATACTAGCAAACATAACGATACTTGTTTTGCAACATGTGCGTTTATCTCTCAGCCGATTTTCGATAACACTGATAATAATTATTGATTGTTATAGATAAAAAACACTTTTCATAAACTTTAAGGTTAAGGCGTTAATACCAAGATAATGATAACGTTTTTTCGAAATAATATAATTATAACTATACTTATCAACTACTTTTTTTAATAGTATAGGGTGGCAATCGAGCACACAGTCCACCTGATGGTATGGATTACGAATCAAAATGGAGATGCGTTGTCACCCGTGAGGACTAAGATGGAATGCCCTGTTTCCAGTAAAAAGGGTCTCCGGTTCTCTACACTCATCATACGAAACACAGCAGCATTAAGCTGCTATTTTACGCTGGTATTCTGTGAGAGCGTGGTCCTTCCCCGGTCGACCCATTCGTGCTACAACTATACTACTAATACAATTGCAGCATGGCTCTATCACGTATAAAAAAAAACTAATATTTAATTTATTACGTAATTTTACTTACATATATTTATGACTTTTTCTTTGTATTGTTAACATATTAATTATATTATATCACTATGGTAAGTTTTAGTTGGTGGTTTTGTTAATATATAATTAAATCGGTTATGGTGTATGCAACGGTGAGAACGATTTTTGTTATTTTATTATTATTGAATTATTACTTTATTTTCGGTATTATTAGAAATACTTACGCATTTGACATAAATAATATTAGTAATGATTTATAATTTTGTATTAGAATTGATTTGAACGAATGTAATTTTACCCTATGATCCTTGTTGATTGAAATAAATAATAAAAAAAATTATTTCATATCAATTATTCATTAAAGTCTGTAAGAGTAAGGGGGGATATCAACATATCACATAACATATCACATAACAGACCACTGCAGTTTTATTTTCTTGTTTTTATTAGGACGTTGCCCAACTCTTGGTTTATTTTCATCATCATAGTCATAGTCATTTATTCCAAAAACAATATACATTGGGTGCGTTTGGCAGAAAAAAGCGCTAGCAAGCGCTTGTAAGCAAAATGGCGATCGTAAGCGGTAAGTGCTGTCAAAGCGTAAGTAGCTATTTTCCTCTAGGACACGATGTTAGTTTTAACCGGGGAACCTAACCTAATTTAAACATATTTTTGTAAAGTATTCATATGAAAAACTTACCAATCATGAATTTTTAATAACATGTATATGTTTGTTCATGTCATTATTTTACTTAAAACTAATATTGCACAAAACAACCTTTAAACTCTACTTCAAAACAAACAAATTAAATAAGCAAAATGGCGGATTATGTCTGCGTTACTGAAGTAGCAATCGTGTCCTGGGCCGAAAACTATTTTAGCGCTTGTAAGCGCTTGCTAGCGCTTTTTTCTGCCGAACGCACCCATTGTGTGGGAAAACTTAATTGTAACAAACAATATTAAATTTAATTAATTAACATTATACGTGTTTACTAAAAATGTCTACAACTTAATTATTAATTAAATAATGCATGCAATATTAA